CTTTTTATAATAATAATAATTTAATAAGACATGTATTTATAATTTTTATAGAATGATTCATTATACTATAATAAACTAAGAATAATAAAAACGTAAGGATGAATAATTATAGGAAATCAGAAAAAAAGTTTGATTTTGTCGGACAGTGCTAGTGGGATAGGATGTGATATGTAGATAATGCGAAGTAAACAAATAATTTAAATATAGTTCGTTTATTTAAAAAACTGAGGGTGATGGAGCAATTCGGAAATAAAATAAATAACAGGAATGATAAAAATGATGTTTTATTAATAAAAATTAATTAAAATTAATGAAAATTTAAAATATATTTTGATCTTCCCCCTCTCCCACCTTTCCCTCCTCTCCCTCCTCTTGGCAGCCACCAAGTTCGCCAGGTTAGGCCTAGCTGTCCCTCGAGCCAGCTGGCCTAATATATTTCGCCACTGCGAATCTAATGACTCGCGAGCTAAGATCTTTTTAAATTTTCCTTCGCTGAAATAATCAGCGAACGCGCACACTAAGTGTGCGACCCGACAGTGCGTGGGTTCGCTTCAGGTTTTTTAATTAATTTTGTGCTAATCACAATTGGTTTTTTGTACTCCGTTTCTGTGGCCTCTTGGATACTCATGTTCCTAATGTAGCGACTGTCCAATATTTCGGGCAACATGCAATGGACGTAGAATCGCAACAATTTCGATTTCATTTCATTCTACCAAAATGTGTCGTCTTTGGTTACTTTTATAGTTTTCATACCCTTTGGTGTCCACAAACAAAACAGACAATATTGTCGACCTGTTATGTGCAGTTGTCCCTGCACTTGGTAAAAATAGTGATGGGTTCTGCGTAATGCAGTACCTGCATCATCTTCAAATATTCTTCGTACGGGTTGAATATTTTTTATCGCTTCTTCTGGCGAGAATTTTTCTGCCGTCTTCGGGCATTTAATTTCCACGATACCGTCGTCGTCAATTATGCCGTCCGGAGTTGCCCCCAAAAATGGTATCTCTGCATCAATGAAGAGACCGCATTTGCGGATTTCCACGTCTTCCTCCTTCGCAAGTTGTTCGCGGGCAATATTCTCACACTGCCGACCATATTCAATGGCAGGCAGATTCAATATGTTTGGATACAGCAGTGACTTTACCAAATTTCCACACTTGGTTGTTTTCCTTCGCCGACACACTTTGACAAAGTTCGACGCTGTCAGTAATTTGGATTGGTATGTATGCCATTCGTGGCTTTTATTTTGTTCTGCCGTATCCCTCACTATTTTCTTTCGATTCGTCTGCCAATCCTGCAGCATCTCCATGTGCCTTTCTTTTTCAAAGTTAAATAGATGTTGCTCCATATCCGGTTTCTCTGCGCTAACTCCATAATCCGGGTCCGTTGTTNTCCATGTGCCTTTCTTTTTCAAAGCTAAATAGATGTTGCTCCATATCCGGTTTCTCTGCGCTAACTCCATAATCCGGATCCGTTGTTGAACAAAATGGGTTTCTCATCTTCTTCGGAGACTTTTTTTCCCTCTCCTTTCCTTTTTCATTACTGCCTTTCCTTCATTCTTCTAATTCTTCTATCAATTTCGGCGGCTTCGCACCCTTGCCCT